TGTCAACAGCCCTTACTGGAAGTGGGAATAAAAAGTGAATATTTTTCTCGGGTGGTGAGTTAAAGGTACAGTGATAATAACCAATCGGTCTGAATGATGAGAATCAGCACACGACACTTTTTTGTCTGATTAATGGCTTGATGGTATAACGACACCAATTCATCATCCACACTGGCCCTTCTTTGCCTTCTGTATTACAGATTTAATCTTGGGCACTCGTTTGCTGAAGGCTACAATAGACAGTGGGAGACCTAAATCCATTTTGAGACTGAGAGAAATTTACCTTCCACTGAGTTCACACAAGTTTGGTTTGAAAGTGGATTACTATGGCTTTCCTGGTTAGCCGGAGGTGAGGGTGGGATGGGGTGGGGACAGTCTCACCTTAAAGAATTTGTTAGGTGTCTCCTTAATGAAAATTGGAGTATCAGGGTCCGGTGGTCAGGAGTCATACCCCAACCAATGAGGTGGGAAGGCCCAAGTGCCAAACCTATAAACTTTTCTAATCTTAATATGTACCTATCCCAATCATGGTTCCTTTCTAGATTGTAAGGTTTTGCCTGAAACAGGGATGGATTGATCTACTGCTATTCATGACTTTGTAGCAATTTCCTTTGTTTTCCACATTCTATATAATAGTTATATGACTGCAAATTTTGGGACACCATTGTGGCCTCATGCTGATGGTCTCTTTTATCCAAATACTTTCTTCGTCTTGTCTTCTTCCTGTTGAAGATTTACTAATACCAAACCAAAGCCAGTGCCATGGGGTCGATTTTGACTCATAGTTACCTTGTAGGACCAGATAGAACTGCGTCTGTGCGTTTTTGAGACTATAACTCTTATGGGAGCAGAAAGCCTCATCTTTCACCAGAAGTGCGGTTGGTGCTTTTGAACCACTGGCCTTGTGGATTACAGCCCAACTCATATCCACTATACCACAAGGGCTCCTGAAGACTTAGTAAAGGGGTCTTTATGAAATACATTTATTATTTTTGTTATTTTTTCCCCTTAGAATACTTCTTAAATTCAGACAGTCTGCTTACTTGAATGTTCATTTTCTTATCCACTTAACATTGTATTTGTGCATTCATACATCTTGTCACATGCTTCTGTTGAGTTGCTAGTTTTGGTATGTGTGCTTTGTCATGCTGGTTAAGCAAAGGAGAAAATTGTATATTATCTGCCCTTAAGGTAGTTATCAAAAGGAAGCCAGAGGATCAAACCTGATTAAATCATTTGATGCACAAAATGCATCAAGCACTCAGTCTAATGCTTAGTCAGAAAACACCTATGGTGAGTTCCCCTGCCCCTTCTCTGTTCAACGTGTAACTCATTATTCATCTATTTCCTTCTGCTCTTCTGCTCTCTTCGAGGCCTTCTTGAAGATTCTTACATTTCTTCATACTTATCTTTTAAAATGTTAATGTCAGAAGCTGCTTCCCCACCCCATCCCCTCCTCTCTATTGACCACATGATCTCTCAGTCAACCAGACCTTTGCAATTCCATGTTTTTGTAATACGTTCCAAGGGATAGGCTAGCAGGTTTGTTGTTAGGTGCCTCACGTTGGTTCTGACACGTAGTGAGTGACCCTGTGTATAATAGGAGGGAACATTGCCCAGTCCTGCACCGTCTGCACAATTGTTCTGATATGTGAGCCACTATTGCAGCCTCTGTCTCATTCCATCTCATTAAGGGTTTTCTTCTTTTTCATGCCCCTTCACTTTACCAAGCATGATATCCTTCCCCAGGGTCTGGTTTCTCCTGATAATATGCCCAAAGTATGAGACATCCTTGCATCAAAGGAACATTCTGACTGTACTTCTTCCAAGACAGATTTATTTGTTCTTTTGGAAGTCCATGGTACTTTCAGTATTCTCCACCAACACCATGGTATTGCCTGGTATTCGTTCAAATGCATCAGTCTTTCTTTTGTCTTTCCTTTCAGTGTTAATTTTTTACGTATCTGTGAGGCAATTCAGGTGCACCCTTAGTCCTCAAAGTAACACCTTGCTTTTCCACAATGTAAAGTGGTCTTGTTAAGCAGTTTAGGTCTTCTTCTTGTTGAGTTGTAATCTATACTGAAGGCTTCAATCTTTGATCTTCATCAACATGTCCTTCAAGACTTCCTCACTTTCAGATAGCAAGGTTGTGAGGTTGTTAATAAGGCTTCCTTCAATCTTGATGTCTTTCTCTATACACACAATTGTCTCTTAACCCATGTACAGGTTTCAAAAACTATGCTTACATTTTCTGAAATTCCCATTGTTCACAAGGCCATCCATGGTGCAGACCCACTCAGTCAAATATCTTTATGTAGTCAATGAAACACGAGTAAACACGTTCCTGTTATACATTGCTTTCAGTCAAGATCCATCTGACATGAGCAATTGATAGGCATTGCTAATCCACTATTATGAGTAAGTTTTTGTCTTCTAACATCGTCTTTGATATATTTTTTTCTTTCCTGTATTTTTGGTGACCTTTTGTTTTCTTTACATATGATGCTCTTGATGGCTGCCCATAGCTCATCAAATCTTCTGACACTGGTATTGAATGCATCAAATCTGTCCTTGAAATTTTCTTAAAATTTGGATGAGATATTCTCAAGGTCATATGTTGGCTCACACGAACTTGTTTTAATTTTCTTCAACTTCAATCTGAGCTTACATATGAGAAATTGATTGTCTGTTCCACAGTCTATCCCTGACCTGGTTTTAGTTGCTGTGGTTGAATTTGTCCATCATCTCTTCCCTCAGATGTACTCAATTTGATTTCTGTTTATTCCATCAGGGAAATTCATTTGTATAGCAGCCTTTTGTATTGCTGAAAAAAAGCTTTTTCTGATGAAGAAGTGTTGGATCATGTAAAGTTTTACCCCAGGTTCTCCAGCTATTACCAAAGCTATATTTTCCAACTACTGTTCCTTCCTTTTGTTTCCAAACATTTTCCTTCCAATTTTCTAGCCAATAATTACCAATGTATCTCGGTTGTATGGTTGAACAATTTCAGACTGAAGACATGTGTAGAATTCTTTTACTTTATCGATAAATTAGGGAATTGGTGCATAAATTGAATGTTGGATTGATTGGATTTTCTTGGTTTAGAATAGATATAATTCTATCACAGACATTATACTTTAAGTTAGATTTTGGAATATCCTTTTCGGTGATGTATGGCTGTACATACGGCTCTTTCTTCCATATTTTCTAATAAATGGATGTGAGCAATGCTTGCGTCAAAGCTATCATGTATCCCTTGTATCTAATATACAAGACAAGTATGTGCTCATTTTCTCTGCCCGTTCCTCTCTCTCATCCCCTTTCTCTTTCAGTAACCAATTACCATTTTCTTTACAAATACGGTATTTAAACAAAGAATCTGGTATATAATGATATACCAGGTTCACCGAATAAAGATAAGGAAAATGAGATGTATATAACAGATACAAATGTGAGAAATTGTGTTAGTCTGGGTTGACTAGAGAAACAAATCCAGAGAGACTCCTATGTGTATAAGAAAGAGATTTATATAGAAGAGCAATTGTATATTGAGAAAACATCCCAGCCCTGTCCAGATCAAAATCACAAGTCCAATATTAGCCCATATATCTGATACCAGTATATAAATTCCTCTTCAGACATGAAACACACAGGCAATGATGCTGAATGCAGGAAGACCACAGACCAGTGGGTAGAAAATCTTGTGGATCCAGAGGCAGTGGAAGAATCTCAGCCCTGGCCGGGGTCTACACGTGGCCCCTCCAGGTCCAGGGCTCTAGCTCTATCAGCGTAGCTCAAAGAGTCTTGCAGGAAGACAAGCAGAGAATGGAGTCTGGCCTCCAGTAAGATATTTATCTCCTTAGTGCCTCCAGATGAGGTCATCACGCTGTGACCTGCTTGACAGACTAAACTCCACCCTTCACCTTTAATAGTCTTAAATTGACACCAGATTATGTAACTATCATAGAAGTGTAATGGATAAAAGTTCTAGCTCCACATTTTACTTTTTTTTGTGATTCTGGATAAAATTCAATTCCTTTATTTGACAGGTAAGATCCTAGAAGCTCCTATTTTATAGGTATGTTATAAGGAATATCTATGCTAATGAATGAAGCACATTGCTCAATAATGTATAACCTTATTGATAATATCATCATGGTCATGCCAAACAGTCATGTAACTTTATAAAACAGTATGCAACTATTTTAAAGGCTCAGAAATTATAATATTTGAAAATATTTAGAAATCTCTACTGTGGTTCAGAACCAAACCCCCTGCCCTATGGCTGATTCAGACTCATCCTCACCCTAGCAAGAGTGCTCAAGACTATAAATCTATATGGAAGCAGACAGAGAGGTCTGTGGGTTTTAACCATGTTTTTGGAATAATGTAAGTATAAAATTAGTCCCCCCACCCACCAGAGAACCATCAATTGCTTCTAACACATAATAACCTTTAAAAGGAAAAAGTATTTTCATTCTTCCTAATCCAAATAGCAGAATACCACAAGTTTTTCTGACATCAGCAATAAACTTGTGCTAGTCACCATTCATCAACACGAGATAACTACTTTCTGTATTTGCGAGTCTGATTGCGCCTTGGAGGCTGAGAGGGCACAGTAAGTTTCCATCTCATCCGGGGACCATGGCCCAATTCAGGCGGCTTGAGAGCAATAGAAGAGTGCATCTGTCATGCTGGGCAGTTATACTTTTTCTATTTTAATGGCGACCCGCATCTCAACTCTTTTTATATTATATATCCCTGCTCCTTAAAGAAAGCAGCTTTCAGATCTACAATGAGTGTTGGAAGATAAGTCGGAAGAACAACCCTAGCTGGGCATTAGGTCCTTTGCCAACATGCTGCCCGTGTACTGGAATGCAAGTTGGACTGTTTATAAGCAGACCTGAAAGAGGTTAAAAGAAAACAGCACAATGCTCCCTCCAAGAAAACAAAGTAACTATTTTTTCAAGAAAAATTCCATTTTAAAATTCTGTACAGACCTGAGGCCATAAAGGACAGTCCCGTCTGGATGCAGGCGGATCATTCGGTTCTTCACAGTCACTCCATGCACAAATGACTTCTTATCATTCAGGAAGTAGGTATCAGGCACCCAGAGCTGGTCTGCCACTCTATTGTCCAGTGTCAGGTTTAAAGGTATTACGTTATAGGAGAGTCTCTTATCTCTCCAGGCTTGCTGAAAGTACATTGTCAAGGTATAATCCTGGGAAAGTAAGAAAGGGAAAAAAGCATGTTATTTTGTAACCAAAAGGATTTGAGATATAGAAAAATTTCTCTACGTTCATATAAAAATACATTGCTCTAGAAACATGATCAAAGTGTGCTAGTCATATAAAAAAAGGTATTGTTTGTTTTACTATCTATGAAACGCTCATATCATATTCCAAGTGCCACGGTAGGTACTTTGAATACCAGAATAAAGTGATTATGTCTACATGAAGTTTACCAGGAATAAATCTGTGAAATAATGACATATGTGTTTTCCAAAATTGTGTACACATCATAAAACAGAATGTAAACAACACTAGAAAGGAGGAGGCTCAGTGAGAATCGTGAGGCTCGTCTTAATGAACGCAGCAGGGGTCTCATCATAGCAAGAAATGAGAGGATGGCATCTGAGCCCACGTATTTCATCTGGCGCGCGCGCGCCGCGCGTGTGTGTGTGTGTGTGTGTGTGTGTGTGTGTAAGTAATAGGAAAGGTAACTGTCACATCTAGTCCATAGTTTCAGTTATTAATCCATTGATTGTTCATTTGCTAATGTTTATTTCATATCTAGTATGTAATAGGTGCTGTTTAGTTGTTGGTATAAATGTAGTAATTTATACTAAAAGGATTGATAAATGAACCAAAGAATGTAAAATATGCCATATTCTATGAAGCCTATAAAACCAAGATGTGATATTTAGCTGGAATGGTTACGCAAAAGCAACAACTTAGAAACAGCGTTTTTGATTAGGCATAAGGACCCCAAACCATTGAATATATGGGAAGAATCTTCCAAGCCGAGGGAAATAGTACATATAGTACAAATAGTGTATGAGGTTGGCATGTTTGAAAACAGAAAATAGACCCTCCTCCAAGAGGCAAGTGACACTTGGTGCAAGTGGAAATAGAGCAGTAAGGAAATTTGACCGCATACAATTTACTCATCGTCAGCAAATGCGTATATGAAATAATTTGTTACATAATGTTTCATTCCTTATAGTATTTATTATGAGCCTTTGTAAATGACATTCATAATAAGTGTAAGCTTCCAGGACAGTTGACATTTATTGTTAAACAGACTTACGTGTAGGATAATTAAATTCACACACTTCCAAAAATGGTATTACCATTCCTCTAACCATTCTCAGAAGAATTCTACAGTCTGGTTAACAGCATGTTTAAGTGTGTTTTATTGACTATGCCAAGACATTTGACTATGTGATCATTAAAAAAAAAACAAACCTATGGATAAACTGACGAATAATTCCAAAACATTTCATTGTCTCATGTGAAATTTGTACATGGATGAAGAGGCAGTTTTGCAAACAGAACAAAGAAATAGTGCATAGTTTAAAATAAGGAAAGGGGTGCATCGAGATTGTATGCTTTAACCATAATTTTCAATCTGTATGTTGAGCAAATCATCAGAGAAGACTGCTTATAAGAAGAAGAACCCAGCATCAGAATTGGAGGAAGACTTATTATCAACCTGCAATATGCAGATTACACAATGCTGCTTGCAGAAATCGGGGAGGACTTGAAGCACTTGCTGATGAAGATAGAGGATTGCAGTCTTCAGTATAAATTACAACTTAATGTAAGGAAGGCCAAAATCTATATGAGTAGACAAACAGGTAACATGACAAATGGAGAAAAGGTTGCAGATTTCAAGGATTTTGTCTTGCTTGGATCCACAATCAACGCTCATGGAAGCAGCAGTGAGATCAAATGATGCATTGCGTTAGATAAACAAACTGCACAAGACCTCTTTAGAGTACTGCAAAGCAAGGATGTTACCTTCAGTACTAAGGTGCACCTGACTCAAGCCATGGTATGTTCAATTGCTTCATGCATGTGAAAGTTGGACATTGAACAGAGAAGACCAGAGAAGAATCGCTGCGTTTGAACTGTGGTGCTGGAGAATACAGAAAATGCCATGGACTGCTATAAGGATGAACAGATTATGTCTTGGAAGAAATACAGCCAGTGCTCCTCAGAGGCAAGACTTTGTCTCACATACTTTGGATAGGTTGTCAAGAGATCCCAGCCCCTGGTGATGGACATCATGCTTGTAAAGTGGAGGGACAGTGAAAACGAGGAAGGCTCTTACTGAGATGGCTTGACACAGTGGCTGTCACAAGGGGCTCGGGCATAGGAACCATAATGAGGACAAAGGACCAGACAATGTTTCCTGCTGTTGTGCATAAGTAGCTCTGAGTTGGAACTGATGTGAGGGCACCTAAGAACAACAACAAGTGGCATTTTGGGACATCTTGGAGAGCCTCAAATAACTCAGAAGTGCTACATTCATGCGATAGGTGGTTGCAGGAAGGTTTGCTAATGAAATTCTCCTAGGAAAGCCCTATTCCCCTCAAGGAATGAGCAGGTGCAGGGCATGGATGAAAAAAAATCCTCAGAGTAACTTTTTTAGATTTTTCCCCTCACCAATGTAGTTTTCATTTCTTGAAACCTCTTAATAATCCCCGAAATATTTGAGAAAAAAAAGCATGAGGTTTACCTATTCACTGTTGTTAATTGCCCTTCAAACCTGTTGAGACTCATAATGGCCTTATTTACAGTAGAATGAAACACTACCTAGTGCTGTGTCACCCACACAATTGTTACCTTCGAGTTCATTGATGCTCGATATTTGACCAACGCAACAGGTGCTTTGATTTATGGAAGGCTTCTTCTGTAAGCATTGACCTAGCCCCCTTTGAACTCCAAAACAGAGCAGTCGCTATAACCTTCTGAACTGACCTCTCTGTTTGAATTCATCTTTGAACTATTGTAACTTTTCTTAAAATGCTTGATCCATAAAAAAATGGTTGTTTCATACAGGACAGAATTCATATAAACTTCTTGCAAATCTTCAATAATTTGGGAAGGTGTCAATTTTAGTTTTGTTTAAATAGTATTGGTCCTGAACTGAAAATATTTTTTCAGTAGAACAAAAAAGGACCATTTTCTTTTGAAGGCACCCTCAGGAAACTAAGAGTAGTATATAAATACAACCACCCACTAATAGTACAGGGACTTTTTAAAAAAAAAATACTTTTATTGGGAGCTCTTACATCGCTTATCACAATCCATACATTCATCCATTGTGTCAAGCACATTTGTACATATGTTGCCATCATCATTTTCAAAGGATTTTCTTTCTCCTTGAGCCCTTGGTATTGCTCCTCATTTTCCCCCTCCCTCCCTCATTAACCCTTGATAAGTGATAGATTATTATTTTCACATCTTATATCATCCTCTGCATTTTTTATTTTAATCGTTTTATTAGGGGTTCATACAACTCATCACAATCCATACATACATCAATTGAGTAAAGCACATTTATACATTCATTGCCCTCATCATTCTCAAACCATTTTCTCTCCACTTAAGCCCCTGGCATCGGGTCCTCATTTTCCCCCTCCCTCCCCACTCCCCCCTCTCTCATGAACCCTTGATAATTTATAAATTATTATTTTGTCATATCTTGCCCTGTCCAACGTCTCCCTTCACCCACTTTTC